AATAACAAATTTAAACGTCCTGCCCTACTTTTCATGCCCCTGGCTGAAAACACATTGTCAGACCTGCCTGGAGATGAGCAGCAGACAGACTCCCCAAATATTCCAACTTACAGCAGCTCTGACATGGAACAAAGCCCTGCCTTGCCAGAACTTTCTATCCCAAGGATTCCTCAGCTTGGGCTAAGTCATCCAGACCCTGATTTGGAGGTTAGACCACCCAAACCTTAGAAAAGATACAGACTCAGGGCACAGGGTCACAAGACTGCACACTGCTGAAGTGCCAGTCTTGCTCAAAGGCTGTAACTTCTGGCAGAAGTGCTGCAGGAGGACTGATGACTCAGCTGTGTGCTAGGAATAGACTCAGCCATTTAAACCTTTCCTTACATGTGGCAGGTTATTTTTTATTTATTCATTTATCACATTTCTAGGCCACCAAATTCCCAGAGAACTCTGGGCTGCTTCACTAACTAAAAATACAGTAAATAATAAAGCAATTATAAAACAAATAGAGCGGAAAACCTAAATGATGTATGGAGGGGAACCACTAAAAGACACAGCATAACTCAAACTGCACCCACTAAAAGGGGCTCCACCCAACCCTTCTAGCCCCAGACCTGAGGGCCTAGACAAGTTTTCAAAGATTGCCTAAAGGCAGGCAAGCATATGGTTTTCCATGTCTTACTGCCCCCACCCCTTACTTACTTACTGGACTTCCTTTCTTGTTTGGTATTTTGATTCAGCTTATTGTGACTTTGCTGCAGCATATGGTTTTCCATGTCTTACTTACCCCCCCACCCCCCAATTTACTACTTGTCTGCTTTTTACATGCTACTGAAGAGTTTTATAGCCTATCTCAGCTAAGGAATTTACAGCTGTGTAATTAGCCTTAATGGACAGGTTGCAGGGCAGCCAGAAAACTGGTAAATCAAGGAAGAATTGCTTTAAACAACATGAAATTACTTTCCTATGATCTTAAAATTAGATTAGTATGACAATTTTGCTCTGTATATTTTAGAAACCTCAGAAAATGCCTGATAAGAATTGATTACAATTGCTTTGATGTTAGAGATAAAACTCAAAAGTTAAAATATAATGTATGTTATTTGGGTTTGTCTTATTGTTGTCATATCTTGGGCTGACATCAGCAAGATAATTAAAATAATTGGGACCTATCACTTTGTGCTGAAGATGCATATTGGCTACCATTATTTGTAATCTAACAAAATGTTAAGAAGTAAGAATTATTGGGGGAATTGCACTGGGACTAGCTTAAAAGTGATCATACAATGCTAGAATTAGAAGTCTATAGCTGACTTATAACAATGGATTGTTGGGTTCTCATTCTTGTCAGCATTAGAATTAGTTCTTTTCTGAAAGATGAAGAAGGAAGAGGATTTTGAGCAATATGGTCAGTATTTTTGAAATTATTTTGTTTACACTGTAACATAATTTTCTAGGCCCTTTTCTCCACAATTATCATGACTACTGAAAAACATCAAGGAACCTTCCTATTTTTTTTATCACATCTATTTCCATGTCTTGATTTAAAAAAAAAAAAAAAAAATTAAGTGATTCTGGGAAAGGGATGAAAAATCCAGTAATGGCTTTTAAACTTAAAATATATACTATAGCAGCTATTATTTTTCTGAACACTCAGGAAATTTTTGATATGGTTTCTTGGAACCTTCTAAAGAGGCTTTTGATTTATTTTGGAATTCCCCAGTTTTTTTGCCTAGCTTAACATGTATACTGAGCCCCTAGAATACAGATGACTATTAATACTGTGTTTTCCCCCTTTTTTTTAATTCACGATGAGATATATGCAAAGGATATGTTTTCTTTTTAATTTGACCTTAGAGCCTCTTGCTTCTGCTATCAGAAATTAATAAAATAATATCTGTAATCTTATTTCTTGCATGTGTTTTATATCTTGTCTGGTTACAATTTATATCATAAATAGTTTTTATACCATTAATTTGTATTAATATATTGTACCTTATTATATATAGTATCCAAATTAATTTGAAAATTGTTTTTATTTTCATACCATTATATTATCTGTTTGCTTAATAAAGCAAAAAGGGAAAGAAAATTATAAACTTTATTTTAAAAAACTCCCTCCATCACCATTGCAGAAATCAGGTTCTAATTATGATTATTTATTTTAATGTATCCAATTTATTTTTTTTCTAGAATTATCATTACATAAGAATTGGTTCTTACTCTTTCATGAATGCGATCCATTTCTTTTAGGTTCTCTTGTTACAAACTGTTTTCAGTGGTACTGGACACTCTAGATAAGTACAAATAAATCTAAAAGTTACCTTGTTTCTTCAACTGTTCTATGTATTAAATAGAGATATATTCACATAACATTGATTGTCTCAAGATTACATTATTTTCAGTACCTGTCAGGTTTTTTTGAAAACCATTTCTTAACATTTTGACTCCAGAGGTAGGGAAGTCAACCTAAAAGTAAGGCACTTCAATTTAAAATTAGGGCTGCCATCCTAACATCAGATATGAAAAATATAGAATATAATTTCTAAATCTAAGAGACTTAAAAATGAATAAGAAAAGAAGAGTTATTTTTGGCTAATGGCTTTTCTGACAATCCTGATCTAAACTGAAAATTTCAATATTCACTGATACTTTTTTCCATTCCCACCTGAACTGTCACTCTACAAATATTACTCCTAGATATAATATTAACTATTATTTTAAATGAAAGTATAATATTTTGTTAGTTCAAATCCATATAAATCCATACCCTATCTCCAGGCCTGTTAGAGAATTATACTCTGTATTCTTTCAATGGCAAACACTGGTTTTAAAGATTTCTTTACATTTTTTCTCAGACTAACTGAAAAAATATCTGTCAAGATTATCTCCGTCTTCACACCTATTTTACTTTAAAAATAATTTGCCAGGTCAACAGGAAGCTTTGTTTTTTCTTGAAGATTTGATGTGTTGTCAGATTTATTATGGTTAAATGTGGAATTTGGACTGCCCTTACTAATACAACATTATTTTACTTTACTGGAAAATAGCTGCAAACAAGAAAGCTGTAATGCTGAACTTTATGTCAAGTAGTCTGAAATTCATGAACAGAAAGGCTGTGAACCATTCTTTTTTGTTTTACCAAGGCAAATTGGATTTCTATCAGTCCAACTACAAAGCAACATGGACAAGTTCCATTAATTAAATGGCCTAGCTGGAGATAACATATTTATTTAACTGAATATAGAAAACTAAAGATTTTTATGCTGAGGATTGCATTCAGTTTTTAAGCTCTCTGAAACCAATGCATTGTGGTATATATGCACATATGTATGCATTAAATCTAGATTTGGTAAGTCTTTTTCTCAGAAAAGGGTACTTCCAAACACCATAGTTTTCACTCCATTTTTATCTCCTAATCTCCCATAAAGCAGCATCAATTCAATCACTTCTATTGGCCTCAAAATGGTGAGAATGGCCGGGGACACCAAGAGCCAATCAGTGCTCTCTCCAGCTGATGATCAGAAGAATTAAACAAGGAAGGAAAACACGTAGAGCATGTTTTCTGGAATTCTTTACCAGTGGTGTCCAAATGAAGCATCTTATTTCCTTCTGGGTAACAAAGCAATGGTTTTTGTCTGTGTTGTGTGTGTTTCTGCTCTCCTCTCATGTTGTATTTGTGTTTCGTTTGCATTCTGTGTCCACAAAGTATGTATGTGTACACTGAGAAATACAGGACAGGCTGTATTTGATCTGCATCACATGACTTGATGAGAGGATAGCTTAGAATGGACCAGTTACCAACATTCCAAGATGCTGCTCAACTTTCTCTTTCACATGATATACGGGGGGATTTTTTTCTGGAATATCTTTCTCCATAGCCCCTTGCATGATCTAGCCCATTTTTTAACTCAATCTTTCATTTGCCAGGTTCTCCACATCAAATTTGGTCCTATTCTTTTCAGTTTTCTAAGAGTTATACTGGTGGTAGACAGAGTATCTAGTCCCTTTACATAATTTCTTCTCAGCATTCCAGCTGTGAGGTTGGACGGATAGGAAAGCACCATTTTGCAGAGAAGTACTTTTTACAATATTTCTAATCATAGTTGAAAGGTGCAGTACTAAACTTCTAAATAGCGCATGTACAGGTGAGAATAATGACTCACTTGAACCCAGAGGCTGGGAAACAGTGCAAGCAAGGAAAATCAAGCTACCCAAGTTTCTCTTCTTTTTTTAAACAGAGATTTAGGAACTGACTACAAAGATTAAGACTCTGTTTGCTTATGAGGTTAACTGTATTCCTTCCTTAGAATAGTTAAGTTGCAGTGTTCACTGGGCTAGGGCTTGCTTATATATAAGAGCTGAACCAGAACCAAAAGCAAAGTCGATAGAAAAAAGATGATAATCCAAAACCTTGGTTGTTCTGAGATACAGGTTAACTGTACAAAAAATAAAATAGAATAAAAGAAGATTGAAAATGTTGGAAGATGATAAAACATGATGTTTGCAGGGAAAATCAAATGAGCTGTACAAACCTGCACAGATAGAATATCCAGGTTTTGTACTAATATTCAACCCAATTGAACACCTAAACCAGAAAGATATGCAATATATATTTAAAACAATGTTTATTAAATCAATAATCTAATATTAGTTACTTCATCTAGAGATGATGCATGAATTAAAAATCATCAAGTGAGACCTGCAACAAAATGTATGTTCTTTGTTCTAGACAGACATGTTCTCTTCCATTTCTTTTTTCTTTTTCCATTTAGTTTTCCCATTCTTAGTTTCCCTAGGCTATTCTAAAGCAATTCCTTCTTTAGAGATTTTACCCTAAGGATACTGGTGTAACTTCAATTATGCCAGATTTCCTCATCTTTATATTTCTGGATTATGTGCAGGCAAAAATGTTTTGGGAATGTTATAACTCAGTCAATTACAGCATGAAACAAATGGGGAGTCAAGTGCTTTACCACAAAAATTTGCATGTTACCTACCATTTTTGCAGATGGGGCAGCACTGATCTGGTTCATATACAGGGTCCACACAATCAGTCTGAGGACAAGCAGACACAGTGCACACTACTTCACCATTGGCTTCGCAGCGACACTTCTCACAAGGTGAAACCTACAATAAATCCAAGCACATTAAGGTTAAGGTGCTGGAAATTCCTGATTTAACTCTTGACCTTGCTTTTTGCTAGATCTTTGAGGTCCACCAAACTGAGCAGATATTGAATACAGTCTTAGGTGTGTGCTGCAGAACGGTGACTCAAAGGATAGAGCAAAATTATATATTACATTTAAGCTATGTACTGTAAGTATGCCATATTTTGACTTATATTCTGGAGAGAATTATAAACGTGCCAAGTAAGAAAGATAAAAGGAGAAGGAAAACAGTGTCTATGTAACTGCAGGTGGTCCTTGCTTAACAACCACTTGTTCAGCGACTGTTCGAACTTATGATGGTGCTGAATGAGTGGTACTTACAACCAGTCCTCATACTTATGATGATTGCAGCATCCTAGCAGTCATGTGATCATGATCCTGGTGCCCAGCACCTGGCTCACAGTTATGATGCTGCAGCATCCCGCAGTCATGTGATTGCCATTTGTGACCTTCACTGGCTTCCTAGAAGCAAAGTCAATCGGGAAGCTGGCAGGAGGTTGCAAATGGCAACCATGTTGACAACGCACTTAATGACCATTGCAGGTTTCACTTAATGACAACAATCAGAAGTGTTGGAATTTCTGTTGCTAAATGGCATGGTCACGTGACATTGCGCTTTATGACCATGTCATTTAGCAAGGGAAATTCTGGTCCCAATTACCATCATTAAGTAAGGACTCCTACCTGTACTTATGAGAGTTTCCAAAAGCCTGCTTTGTTGGAGAGAAGGGAAGATTTTTGTTATTGTTGTTCAGTAATTGGGAATCAGAAACTCTGAGGCAAGGCTTTCTGGCTTTTTAGCATCAATCCCAGGTGGAAAATAAACATAAGCAAATGTATTCAAATATCACCAGTGTTCTGAAGAAAAGTATTATGGAGGGCAGAAAACAATCTCAAATGGATTCATTTGTTTAGAAACTATTGGAGAAAAAAACTCTCTTTTCTTATTCTAACTTGTTAATAATATTCTGACACACTATTTAAGAGTAATTGCTCCGCTACAATGTGATTAACAAGTCAGAATCGGAAAACCACACCCAGTAATACTTTTATTTCCACTTGTAACAGAGTGATGCCTGAATTACTGTACAACTGAAATTTGGGCTGAAGGGGAAAGGGAAGTATACTTATCTTTATACCTCCAAAAAGGTGGGGTTAGATTGACTGGTAATTAGTTTAGTAATTACAAGACACTGTATTACAACAGTCCCATCCCTATGCATAGGAGTACCATCACAGCATGGTCATGGTAGGATTTGGTCAGCCCTAGGGCCCCTTTTTTTCTTCCATTTTCATATTTACATATTATCTGCAATATAGTATGTTGCAATTTTCTGGAAATGTGGACTGTGTCATCAATAAGCAGATGACCTTTCTCTCTCTGTCTGTCTGAATTAAAAGACTTTGAAGTAGCTGGCAGTTGCCTGTGGGTTACGATAGGCTGGTTGAGGAGAAATCAGCCCATGCCTGGGAATTAGGAAGTGACCCAGTCCCGATGACGATGAATTCTCTCTAAAAGAAGAGATATGTGATTTGGGGGCTGTCCTGGATTCCAGGTTGTCATGAGAGCCATAGGAGGGCCTATGCCCATTTTGGTTAATACAGGACAGCCTAGTTTTAATTATCCATGCTGATATCCACCCAGCACTCATCCATTCAGTTAATGACATAACTGAATAACTGAAATTATTTGGAACTATATTTGAAGATGATCCAGGATCTGAAGCTGGACACAGATACTTAGTAATTAAGTTGAGTGCCTAATTATTTAAAGGGACTATATAACACTGAAACTTAAAGCATTGTATAGGCAGTTTATGAGCTATCAAGACTATCAAAATAATGCCTTTCATCTTATAAAGTCTTACTTAAGTTAGGATCCACATATTTAAAAAAATTATGAACTTATAATATGAACCTTATCTGTGTGGTACGATCAGCTGGAGAAGCCTTGTTCCTCATCCTCCATGGATTTGGTTCTCAGAAGGAATACTGTTGGTTACATGAGCCCCATCCATTAGAGTGCTTCCTTCATTGTGTCCTCCTTTGGTTGGAATAATCAAAAGCCACTCTCTTTAGCCTTGTCAGTGCTAATTACCCACACATTTGTTTCCAATGGTTATGAAAAGTTCTGTTCTTTTTAATGTATAATTTAAATTCTTACCTATAGTTGATGTTCTTCTCTTTTCCTGATACTACCTTTTTTGTCCTGTTCTGCCAGTTAATTATTCTTGATAATTGCTGATGTTTAATAAATAAATATCAAGGTATATTTTTTGCTAGCTGAACTGAGTGTTGTGTGTGCTTGCTCAAATCTGGATATAGTTTGCTGGGTGCAAACTAAACTGGAAATTTCCCACAGTATTTTTCCAACAAATACTTTCTTCTAATTAATGGCAACCTCGTTATGGGATTCTCTCTTGGGTGAAGTACAATAGGCTCCATAATATCTCGTTTTATGACAACTTGCATACATTTGTTCCCCTGAGCATTTCCAAAGTAACATTACTGGATTAGAAAGCCTTTCAAAGGCTTTGCTTTAATCTTGCTAAAACTTTGCTTTAGCTGTTCTACAGTTATACATAGCACATTTATTGCTTTTTCTTGTCTTGTTTTA